GTGGAAAAATACCTGAGTGAAGATATTTGTTTACTATATGAAGTAGATCTGAGGCCATGCAACGGAAAACATCTTTGAAAAATCCTGTTGGAATAATATCAAGGCAGCAAGAGGAGGATTTCAGAAGTTGTATAATGTCCTCCAGGTTTTTATCATTAATCTGATGGAATTGTGACATGGTGTTTGAATTGATTTTAAGTGGACACAGAGACAACACATTTGCTGTACTAGATGCAGAGGCACTGACTGCTTGTCTGATTTTCTGAAACCAAAGCAAACCTTAATCCCCTCTGTCTTTGTGGCAAACACTCAAAAGTTTGAGTCTCTTTACTCTACTTTGGTTTTGACTTTGGGGGTAGAACAAAATACCAAAACCAACACGGCATATTGTCTTCCTCTTTCAAGAGGCTTATTCAAAGTGAACTTCCCGAAGATCAGAGCATCTCTCTTTAGCCCTGTTAAATCACTCCCTGCAACGATTGTTTAGCAGGAAACAAAACCAAATCTGTTTCTACAGGGGGCTACACAAGTCTGTGTGTGGGGGTCTGTGTTGAACGGATGATGATTGTGTGCGAGTACATATGCTGCTAATTGTAGGCAAGGCAAGTTTATTTATATAGCACCTTTCAACACAAGGCAATTCAAAGTGCTTTACAAAAAACGAAATACATTAAGAAAATGGCATTTTAAGATGTGAATAGTTCAATTAAAAGCAGCGGCAAAAAGAAAAGTCTTTAGTCTGGATTTAAAAGTAGTCAGAGTTGCAGCGGACCTGCAGGTTTCTGGGAGTTTGTTCCAGATATTTGGAGCATAATAACTAAACGCTGCTTTACCATGTTTAGTTCAAACTCTGGAGACAGAAAGCTGACCAGTCCCTGAAGACCTGAGAGATCTGGATGGTTCATAATTTAGCAGGAGGTCAGAAATGTATTTTGGGCCTAAACCATTCAGTGCTTTATAAACCAGCAGCAGTATTTTGAAATCTATTCTTTGACACACAGGAAGCCAGTGTAAAGACTTCAGAACAGGAGTGATGTGATCCACTTTCTTAGTGTTAGTGAGGACTCGAGCAGCGGCGTTCTGAATCAGCTGCAGCTTCCTAATAGATGTTTTAGTGAGACCTGTGAAGACACCATTGCAGTAGTCCAATTGTACATATATAATTTGTGAGCCAAAAGACATGTCATATACCGCCATTGGTAAAAATCAGTGGGTCACAAATAAATGTACAATGAGTGGGACAATGCAGATTAGCTTTGGTGTTGCATAAGCCTTCAAGTCACTCCTTTGAGGGTACAGTTATCAGATGGCTTTGTCAAACACTGTGGTAAATTGTACTAATGATAAAAAGCTGCAAACAAATTGGGATAACATTTTTTGTAAAAAAAATGACTCTAATGTATGGTTCAATGATACAATTACATTTTGAAGTTTTTTTTAGGACATTATCTTGTTATCATGTTATGAGAGTTCTGAGTCTTAACCACAATGATTGAGTTGTTGTTTATAACCTGCCAATTAATGCTAAAAAATAACTAATGCTGATAAGTCCCACTAATTAGTAGTTTTTTTAGTGTTGATGCATATTAAATTAAAGTGTGTAATGATTATATATTTGTAGCAATATCTGGGGATACCTACACCCAATGAGCAGCAAGTTTAATTTAGACTAGGTGCCATCATAGCTGTTTGAATGGTGTCACAATGTACCTCCTTGAGCACTTTACATTATTGAATTAGAACATTGACTCATAACCTGGAGTCAAATGGATGAATAAAATCCTCTACATTATGTCATATAATATCAATATACAGAATATAACATGATGATTTAGTGTGAGCTTTAAAGAGTAAGCATTTTTTAGAATAGGTCTTGATAACGTAGTTTGTCCTTGTTGTAGCTATAGGCTATGTGTGTGGCACTGTGAGTTTAAATGTCTCTTCATTTGTATTAAGACCACAGTCGTGCTGAAGGACATTCAAATAAATTGAATGGGACATTTTTGTAAAGGATATCCATCCTTAACGTGTTGCTTTCTTAAATTCATCGATACCATAAACATTTAAAATCAGCCTACTGTATGCCATTGCCTACTACTTTGGTGTTATTATTTTCGTTTGACACTGACTATGAGTTTCTTATAATTAATCCTATGCAACAGGCTGGCTGCTTCAGTAGAAACATAATCCACTTCCACTTTAAAATAAATAAATAAAAATTCCACGGATGCCGTTATAATTTTTGCGAATTGCTCCTGTGTTTGTGACTAAAATTCACAGTTCTTTCATTATCCCTGTTGTGATGTGGATTTATTATCAATTAAACTCATGATCCCACAAATCTGTAGTGAATCTGCTGTTTATCATGGGATGTTATCTCTGGATGGCAAAGTAAATAAACGTGTCACTATGCAGAGACATAGACAAACGCACCTTGGTTGGTATTCTGTAAGAAATGTCAATACCTGGAGTAAATACAAATCTAAATGCAGCGCTCTCATATGCAGACACCTACACTGCATACAAATACATACACACAGCGCATGGCGTGGTGCACAGAAGTGTGTGCATCTCATGAACTTTGCATTTAATGAATTCACTTCATTCTCATATAAGTCATCGGTCTATGCCAGGGTGTGTGCATGCATGATCATCCTCTTATTTCACAGTTCAATCAACATATTAGGATATACTTTAATCCTCGATCATTGCTCCTCACTGGTTGTTTAGGGCTGGATTAGTTATCATTAAGTCAGGCAGATTCACACAAATTCACATCGTACACATCACATCTAGCCTTCCGTTCATCCAGATATCCCTTCTGGTAATCCAGATATCCCTTCTGGTATACAGTGTATTAATTAAATCTAAATTAAAACCTTTAGAGGCTTTGGTAAATAGAGAGCTAAATAGCTCATGATGATCCATCATCTACTTAACTTTTAAAGAGAGCACTGCTATGTGTGTTTGATATTTACTGAATTGAGTGGGAGAATCTGTGAAGAAATGCTTTTGGTTTTCTTTTTTCCCACCAAAGTGATTCACCTGTCAACACCTGGGGGAAATGAGAACTTACAAACTAAGAACAAACAAAAGTCATGTGTTAGTGGTTGATGGTTAACAGAATGATACAATCTTATCAAGCAAGTTATCTTTAGGTTTTTTCAAAACATATTTTTTTCTTTCTTAAAAATAATTACAAAACTATGAAATGGTCTTATTTGTTACTAGATTTTAGGCTTAGTGCAGAGACATCAGCCTTCAGTGCAAAGGATTTAAAACAAAACGTCTGATTCAAATGTTTGCCATCCAATAATAATGTTCAAAGGATATTTTCTTTCCACCCTATTTCTGAAAATTGCTCTGTTTGCAGGAAACAGTGATTTATTTGGTCTCCTTTTAAGTCTGTCAGCATGCCTGTGCAGGTGCTGTCTGTGTTGGACACACACACACACACACACACACAGTAAAATCAGTTTTTTTTTTTTTAAAGGAGCGGAGGATGAGAGGGAGTTATAGTGGAAGCAAGAGAGGTATTAACAACAAAGAAAATGCCCCGAGAGAGGGATGGAAGCACAACGATAAGGAGGGAAGAAAAGAGCAGAGAAGATGAGTGTCTGCAAAAATGGAAACACCCTGAGCAATGTGTCAGAGCCATGACTTCTAAGGCTCTGACATATTGCTAAGGAAATGATCAGTCAGCACAGTTTTACAGCGCTCATCACTGACACAGTTGAAATGCAAATACTGCCCACTGAGCTTCCAGGACACTCTGTACTGTACATGTACAGTATGTTGCTGAAACCCAGGTGTGATGGTTCCTTCTGTGATGGTGCCTTACATGACAAGATCAATGGCTTGTCTTTATGCCAATTTGTCATGGCAAAATAAATGCGCTGCTTCTCACCTATAACATTGTTTTCAGTTCAGGTCAATGTTTTAAAATACATCCAAGATTAAATGTTCATCAATCAGGACACTTGAGGAGATCCATTCGACCATGCTATCAACAATATTGACTTTGTTCATCCATGTGACAAAATATATTTCCCTTACTGTCAATCCAACATTGGTTTTATTCATGCCTGGCTAAACCATCAAACCTTTGATTTTTCTCTTTCTCCCTCTTTGAGTCAACAACATTTTTCTACAGAAAATGACTTCCTTTCATTGTGTCTCTTACAAAATGTCTTGATTGGGTGGCCTTGTTGTTGTATTTCATTTTCTGATTTCCTGAATAGTAGATTTGCTTTAAGTATTTTAATAGTGTCTTGTATAGCCTTGTGAGTTTTGATAGTTTGATAGAACTCAATGTTCTCCCAGCCAAAGTACTACAATTTAAGTATCTTGGCAACCTTGAGATTGTAATTAAATGGTGAACTGCACCAACAGAAAACATGAAAAAATAGAGCCTAAGAGCAAAACTTTGATTGAATTGGGATCGTATTGAATGTTGTGTGACAAAGGCAACTTGCTTGTGTTCAATAAAACCTTAGAATTTACTGAGCCCCACATTTGGCCTATCCAACACAATACGTTCATTCATAGCCAGTGCTTCCATATGAACAGTAGATACTCATTCATATTTACTGTTCATACAGTAAACAAAAATAATTATTTTCCAGTGTTTCGATATAGTCAAATCAGTAAATGTTCAAATAAATATGGACTCTTTCTCACTCTAAAGAACATTACTGGCAAGAAAAAAAAGGCACTTATGTGATCAGACAACACCTCCCAAAACCAGATGCAGAGATACTTTTCTTTAGAGATGAGACATAAAGAGGGTCCTAAATGATTAGCAGGGATATTTATCCTGTTGTTTTGCTGAGGTCAGGTTAGGTAGTTGGCATACAGCTGAAGACATGCACACATACAGATCTATAGATAAAACCCATTTGTACTAATGCGGCTTGAAAGACAAATTATGTGTTATTAGTCAATAAACTGTTTCGATATGTGTTGTCTGATAAATGTTTTCTCTCTTTCTCTGTCTGTAGGTAGGGGAGAGGCAACATGTGCTGGTGACAGAGGAGTCATTTGATGCCCAATACTATGTGTCTCACAACAAGTTCTACCAACAGGTAAGATAATGGTTCAAGTGTGCTTACTCTATACGACCAAGCGGCAAACTCTGGGGCAGAGCCGGGAAGCCCATAAGAAAGTGCCACAAACTGCAGTTCATCTATTGGCCGATAGGGGATGGCTGCAGAAAGGGGCAATTTCCATAGACCCCCCATGTTAAAATGCCCAACTTTACAGCAGAAATAAACATGTTTCTACCCCTGGATGCAATACAAATTATTCTGGATATAGTTAGATTCCACCTTTATGACAATGGATTTGGGAGTGCATTTTTTTATAACGCACCTCTTTTAGTAATATTAGGTCTTAACGTTTTTGCATAAATTAGGGTGTGGTCACTTTGATGGACAGGTCTCTGCGTGACTGCTGCTTCTAGCTTTCTGTCCCTCTGCTAGCTCTGTTAGCTCCAGGATGGCTGATCCGGGGAACACAACTTGAACTCGGACGTGTTTGTTGTGTTGGTGCCTGGTGGAGTATCAGGGTGGCCCCATGCAAAGTTATGTGATGAGACCCTCTGTTTCGCGAGCGTCGACGGAGCTTGGCGCGCTTGCACTAATTGCGGCGCATAAAGGTGCACCGCATTTGCGCTTCAGATGAGGCCCCCTCCCGAAGGTGAGGCGCCCTCCGCGAGGTTAAGGCCCCACGCAGTCTGCGTGATCTGCGTGTAGGGTGGGGCGGCCCTGTGGAGTATTCTTCATTTAAATATCGGACTTATCTTATGCCGCCTCGGCTCCGCCTCTTTGCCCTTATTTGGATCAGGCGGGAGTTATACTCTGATATCACTGTCGAGACGGCAGCGGCCGACTCCGCCTACTAAGGGCTTCTCAGCAACTCTGCAGAAACCTATGGGTGACGTCACGGACACTACGTCCATTTATAGTCTATGTATACGACATATGTAGTTATCCAACATTTTGTGATCAAACTTAAAATAATGTGTCATTGGCTGGCATGGATATCAGCGTCTGTCAAAGGACAATTCAACACGCTTGATGTTTGTTGATACTTTTGCATCGGATGAATCCTAAAATAGTCAAGTTGGCCTACAGACTCTTTCCCCCATCAAAATAACATACATTGAAAATGCAGTAAATTAATCTGTGTTTGATGATTTTTTTTTTCGTATGTGAAGCTAATCCAACCCTCCCTCATTTTCACACTTAGCAAATCAGGTCAGAAGCTTTGCTTTGCATGTCACAGAGCACTTACAGCAGGTGTCAGAATCTTAAGCTTGTATTGACTAAAGTAGGTTAGCTATAACATCACACACACTCACAAATACACACACACACTCCCTGCGGTGGTCATGAGAGCATTTGGCTGCTGATAGCGGCAATACTTTTTGCTTTTTTTACTATACTAACATTAAGGTCAGCCCTAAAGACATGAACATTCCATCCTACACACACACACACACACACACACACACACACACACAACTGTTCACATACACACACATATCCGGATGGCTTCAAAGACCCTCTCTCAACCTGTGAAAAATTCACTTTAAAACATCTTCAAATAAATCAATTTCCTCCTGCTTTAACCATCATCAGAAACATGTTTGAAGTTATGCTTTTTATTAGCAGGGAGGGCAGGGGATGGTAATAATTTTTCCTCCCCTCCACTTTCCTCTCCTCTCCTCCTCTTCTGCAGGCTATAAACTAAAGTTACAAGTGTCACTCGGTTCATGTGTCTGTTGTGGGGTGCACCCCTCTTCATGCATGTGTGCATTGGTGCATATGTAGGAATGTATGTCATGTGTGTCAGTTGACTGTACTCCAGAGGAAAGCAAGCTGACATGTTTGATGTTTTTCCGCTGCCGTAATCTTTTTTTTGGGACATTAAGTATTTTGCATGTACTCCTAAATCAAACTAACTTGAAAAAAGAACATGAAAACACTATGTACCAATATGTTCCTGAAGTTGTATTCGCGCAACATCATTTCACTTTTTTCTCACTTATATGATTATTTTTAAAAACTCACTATTTATTATTGGTGCTATACTTTCATCAACCTTTAAACTGAGAGATTAAACTTCACTGCACATATATCAAACAAATTCCCAAATATGTAATAAAAGAAACATGTAGAGAAAAGGATTGGTTTGTTAAGGGGCAAAATATGGGAGGTCAGGGATCAGGGCAGAAGTGAAAAGAGTAGTGGGAGCAGGAGAAAAGGGACTGAAGGAGGGGGAGGTGAGGGGGGGGGGGGGTTGTTGGTGCGTGGGTGGGTGGAGGGGAGTGGGGAATAAGGTAGTGAGAGGTGTGAGTGTGAACAAATGGCCTAGTTTCACTTTTACACCATCAGATGGAGATCTATCCTGACGGCTATAATAGGCACCCATCCCACCTGTGTGGTGTGGTGTGTGGTGTGTGTGTGTGTGGTGTGTGTGTGTGTGTGTGTGTGTGGGTGTGTGTGTGTGTGTGTGTGTGTGTGTGTGTGTGTGTGTGTGTGTGTGTGTGTGTGTGTGTGTGTGTGTGTGTGTGTGTGTGTGTGTGTGTGTGTGTTGTGTGTGTGTGTGTGTGTGTGTGTGTGTGTGTGTGTGTGTGTGTGTGTGTGTGTGTGTGTGTGTGTGTGTGTGTGTGTGTGTGTCAGACTGAGGAATTAGGAGGAGGTGTTTCCAATGAAAACGGACAAGGTCTTTCATCATTTAATCATCCTGTAATGGGCATCAAATGACCCACACACACAGAACCCACTCACCTTCCTCCTCCACATCCCTGCTGTTTTTCCTCTGCGCTCTCAGCCTGGTTGCAAGCCACTCACACAGACACACACACACACAGTGTCCAGAGTGTCGAGCAGCAGGTGTGTTGATTAGGCAGGTGTGGCGCTGCCTGTGTGTCTGTTCGGCCTGTTCTCCATTTCCTATCATATTCCACCAGCTGGATAAAGACTGACAGATTAACTCTGAGCCAGGTTTGTTCCTGCCATCACAGCAGTAACACTCCCTCCACCAGTTCACATCTATTCACTGCCCAGTCAGTAGCTTAGCCCCACAGAGCCTTGTAATGGTTAGACAGACCCCCACATGATCTGAGTCAGCATGCACCCACCCTCCTGAAGTTTACCTGGGCAACACATAACATCCTCAGCAGCTCCCAGGTTACTGTTGGGCTGCGGAGCCTATAGAGATGAATACATCATCACATTATTATTGTTAGTATAAAACCATCTTTGAATTTGTTTAAAAATGTCATAACTGTTTCCAAATTGCTCAGCTGTTTATTCAGAGAGGATTGCATAACTGTGTACATCAAAAGGTGAACAAAGGGTCATACAGTGAGATGTTATTTTTTCACTTGAGTAATATAATAAATCATTGGTTGTTCTCAAATAAATCCATTACTTTAGTTGTGAATACAATTGTAAATCCGACCAATAATCACACCACAAATCATTATAACAGTTTTTGCAAGAGAGATAAATCTGAAGTAAGGCGAACAGCATACATCATTGTCTCTCTGTCAACTCTGTGCTTAAAGGAAAAAAATTTAGCATATGAACTTTACTTACAGGAGTAAGTCACTAAGAACAAATTTCAGGCACTAATTATAACTTGTTGTTTTCTCTTCCTTTCTGCTATGATCAGTAGAGATGTTTTGGTTCCATGATGAAATAATAAGACAAACCAGCAAATCCCGGTGGTTTTATCTCACAGCTGTTGCCGTCGTTTTTTACCTTGAGGGCATCCATAAATGCAACTGAAAACACTCAGCTCTGTGCTTTCTTTTAAGCAAGCAGGGACTAGCTAAATAAAAAATGTGAGGGAGTATTGGGAACAGTTTTGAGCAGTGGTTAATTGAAAATGTACATGATAGATGTGGGGAAAAATGCAGATGGCTGTTTATTCTTTTGAATGGATGGTTGTTTAGGTCAGCCATTTTAAGTGAATGACGGCAAGTTGCTGAATATATCTCACCTCTGGTCAATAAAATACACTCATTGTTCAATGAATACATTCACAAAGGTTTATGAATGATTAATTGTGTAACTTTGAAAATGTTCTTAAACTTTATAGTGACATTAATTATAATCTGGTTCCTGTTTTGCAGGTGCTGGTGCCTATGAGGGCTGAGTTCAAAGGGAAGATGATCGAGGTGGACATTTACGAGGCAGGAAAACACTTCCTGAAAGGCCGACCAGTAGAAGACAGTAAGCCCTTCACTGCCTCCATTGCTGCCCCGCTTCAGAAAGGAGAGGTGTCTGGCCTGAAGCAGGTAAACAGACACACACATGCACACTTCCAATCACTTTCTTTTCCTGATTTATGTAAACACAGTCAGCACTTCATGGCTGTACAAAGGATAATTAGTTATAGCATATATAGCAGAGTTTACTTGGCGGTTAATTTTTTTTTAAATGAAATAAATTAATGTGTTACGCCTCTTATATGTAGTCACTTTTTCTTGATGAAATCAGTAAAAAGTTCAGTGCAGTATATTTAACTGCTTTAAATCAGTTGCCAATGTGGTATATGTACAGTATTGGTGAACATGAGTCTACCAGATGTGTACTGCATTTGTTTGGGCTAATTACATGATTTAGCCTGCATCTGTCATGCACTGTATGTTTTTTCCTTATCCAAACCATAAAAGTTGTGTTTACAACACACTATTTAAATTGTGTTCAGTCAGCAAATGAATATCGTGTGAGTGTGTCCACATTTTTAATCCATTCTGGCTTCTACAGTTTGTGGAAAAGCCCCAGTGTATCAGGCGTGAGATAAGTAATTTAAGATAAGCTGTGGCTGGCTAAACTGTCCTCTGTCTTCTTTTCTGCCATAAACACACACACACACACACACACACACACACACACACACACACACACACACACACACACACACACACACACACACACACACACACACACACACACACACACATCATGTTAATGTATCTGTTTCACTGCATGTTATTTTTCACTCTGACTAGCTGGAGCTTATAGCTCAGGACATGGAGTCACAGAGCAGAATATGATACACTTTCTAATTTCACACTCCATCAGCCTTTACTGCCAGAAAGAGAGGGAGGGGAAGAAAGGAACTGACAGAGACATGAGAGAGAGGGGGGGGGTCACTGATGAAGAGTAAAGTAAGCAGAGAGAGAGAGAAATGGATGGAAGAGAATGAGATAAAAAGAGCAAAAGAGGAAGCCATGCGATGAAAAGTTCAGAAGTGGAGAATAGACCTTGTAAAACTAGGTGCCTCATAAAGTCTGCAGCCCATCCAATGCACAAGCTTTCCCACCACTTACTGTCCCTCTCCATCTTTCAACATTCTTCAACATGTTCACATGCACACATTCTTCATACTGTTATGCACACTGTTTCTCACACACTGGCATACACTATGTCTAGTCCATACATTGTAAATACCTTTGTCTGGATATTTCCTGACAAGTACCAAGTCCCAGGGTCCAAATGAGTTTCAGAAGTTTTTCTCAAGGGAAAATGTCATTATCTCGACACTCATTGTGCTCTAGATGAAATTGAATTTACAAATCTCGAGTTTGAAAGAGGAAGAAAAGAGTGTCTTTGTCACTTTCTTAATATTTGGGAATAACAAAAGCTGAATAGGACACGAAATCTCGTTCTGTCGTTTCACACACCTAGTGTCTGTGAACACACCTGGTGCTTTGAGGTTTTGGGGTGTGTATAAAATGTACTAGAGCTATTTGTTTAAAGTAGGTTGAGACTACAACAACATTTTAAACCACGAAAAAGGAACTAATAACGAGTGTCATAAGTGTAGTTGAAATTGTGACAGCATTTGAGTGGGGAAAAAAGGAGGCAGCCCAACTTAAGATTTAAACCACATACAGATAGAGAAACAGACCTAGGTGAGTGGCAGTTCAGCGTATGAACATTTGTTGTAATACGGTTCAGGATTTGAAAAAAAAAATTATCTGCTGTCCACGGCTCATTGCCAATTAACATACTGTTATATTACGTGATCTCCAGTGATGCCGCTGATGATCTGTAACCCATAGTCCTTATGGCCAGCGATGTCAGCTCTTAATGACACAAGAGTGGCACTGGAGCACAATGATAATCGATACGTGAATTAATGGCTTGAAAACAACAGTATTTGTAGGTTACACACACACAGCTCCCTGGTATATGTGATGTCCATGAAACTGATGAAGTCAGCATCTATGTTAAATAATATTATTGTTGGTGAACAATTCTATTTGAAAGTATGCATGCACACACATATATTTAGTAATACCCTGCAACAGCAAACCCTTGTATACACACATACATAAGGGCATGCACCCCTGCACACAGACACTGGTTGAAGGCTTATACAAGACCATCTTTTTCCTTTGAGTCTCTACATGAGTCCACCCCACACTGAGCTGAATGTGTATGTAAGATGAATGAACGGTTAGGGAAAGGCAGATAGATGTTCACCCCTATGTCTTGCAGCACAGTCTTTAATTACAGGCTTTTGGCAGCGAGCTCGAGAAAAACATAAAGGACCACGAGGAGAGAGATTGCGTGATGAGGTGCAATGATAGCTGAGTAGCTGATAGAAGGACGTAGTCTGAGCTTTGTCGTTTCATCTAAGATGCAGAGAATCAATGTAAGAGAAAGTGAGTATAAGAGAGTGGCAGATAAGTGGGTGATTGGATAGGCAGAAGAACCCACTAAGGGCTGTCATGTCCATTTGTCGAAAAAAGGAACAAAGTGAGAGCTCTGTCATTTTTGCAATGAAGAGCAAGATGATTGCAGTGTAGGATTGAAGAAATATTGCCATATAGATAGATTGATGGATGGATGGATGGATGGATGGATGGATGGATTCATAGAGGAACGGCTTGTGTAAGCTTGTGTGGATTGCTTGGGAAGGACGTACCCAAAGTGGAAAAAATAGATACAATGATGAGACATGATGACATTGATGCACTGATGGATGAGCAGATGAAAGAATGCATGGATGTGTGAATATATAGACAGGTAGATGTAAGGGTGAGTAGTAGGGATGCCAGAAACTGACCATGATCAAATTTGAAAATCGGACAGCCCTGGCGAATATGAATCGATTATTCCCCCCCCCCCCCCCCCGGGGGAGAAACAAAACACAGACAAATGGAATTCCGTTGTTTTCTTTTTCTGGAACATGTACATGATACAAAAGGGCTCTTCAGGTAGAACAGTAAAAAGCAATAGCAAAAAATAAACCACCATCTTCTGCGCAGATCTTCTGCCTTATCTTTGTACAGCTTTTCCATTTGTTTGGTCATTGTAGTACGGCCCGGGACCCTGTAATCTGGTTCCAGGCTTGCTATAAGCTCAAGGAAACCCCCTCCTTCCACGAAACTTATTGGCAGCATGTCCTTCACTATCATATTGGTGATTAGCGCAGTTATGTCACCTGCACTTCTGTCATCACAACGACGTGGCCTTGAAGTGAAGTTAGTAATGGCCAGCTGTGCTGCGTCTTTCTCTGTAGGCACTTCTTTGGCATGCTTCGCACTCAAATGCGAACGCATTGTTGATGTTGAGCTGTGGTAGACCAAAGTATTTTCGCAGAGCTTGCATTTGACTTCATTTGCACTTGTCAGTTCGAAGTAGTTCCACGAGGAACTCTTCTTTGAACGTGCCGCTTTGTTCATCTTTAGTTGTGTTGTTCTCACTGTTCTGTATATCGCCAATAAATCAATCGTATGTGTGACGGAGGGGGGGGGGGGCGGGGTCGGTGTGTAGCAGGCAGCAGCAGTCTGCACTCTGCGCAGCCTGCGCTGCAGGCTTCCTCCAAGTTTACAGTAAAACAAACTGGTGGTGTGACCAATGGCCATTTACAATTATTAATACTATTACTATTATTAGCATTAGTCTATATTTTGGTTGAAACTAAGCCAGGAAAAAACATAAATAATAATAAAAAAATATATAAATAAAATCGAATTTTAAAAATAATTGTCGATTATGGAGACTGTAACGAATATTCGAAAAATCGAATAATCGCTGGCATCCCTAGTGAATAGTGAGGATGGACTCATAGTGATCTGCTTGCACACTGTTCTTCGTCCATGTGCATCCCAAGACTCTTTTCTTTATCCACCATGACATGTTCTTAATGGCCTCATTCCATAGAACAAGACCAATGTTTAAGAGGGAGAAATATTAGCTTTGTATTGGCATGGATGACATCCTTTCTTCTGTTCTCTCTCTTACTCTCTCTCCGTCTGTCATGCCATTTATTCACAGAAACAGCACTTTCCACACAAGGGGAAGGACAGTAATGAGTCTTTTAGTGGGACACAATAGCAGAGAAAGCACTCAACAACACGGTGCAGGAAAGAAAAGGGGAAAGTATCTTCAGCAGTACTCATCCTCAGATGAAATTAAATGATAGAAGAGGCGGTGGGGGGAGGCCCAAAAAACATAACAACAGTGAAAGGGAGTACGAGCAGGGTAGACGGAGAGATCAGGAGACAAAAAAAGCAGCTTGAGAGCCACCAAATAATCAGGTCCTTTCACAGCATACTTTCTCAAGGGGACTGAGAGAATAGTGAGAAGAAAAGGGCTCTGCTCCTTCCAGGGGAGCAAAGACAGCAAACTGACAGTTGGTATGAAGGACAGAAAAGAAAAAGGAGGAAGCTGGGAGAGAGTTCGAGATGGAGGGATACAGGTAGTGAACAATGTCCCTCCATGGCCACACATTGACACTAAAAAATGGAGGCGAATGGAAAAATCTTTGTTGTTGTATTACATTTATTTGTTCCCTTTCTCTGGAGCTGATACTCTTGTTTTTCCTACCCTTTCTTGTGTTTAACTTTTTTTCATCTGGTTTTTCTTGTTTTATATCTGCCCGTTTTGTATTACTTCTACTTTCTATTACATCTTTCCTCAGAATTCAGTTGTAATCAGTCCAGTTCATGTTTGTGTGTTTGTGTTTTTTACTTATGTAAATGGATGACAAGAGAAATATAGAAACACAGATTGCGTGGACGTGGTGAAATTGTAACTGTGTCTTTGTCTACTCTAGTACAAGCTGAGTGGGTGGGATTGCTGGTATTTTGCATCATTATGTTTACAACACAGACACAAGCTTACATACACTACAGGTTCATTGGTAAAGCAGAGATTATACATGCACATATACACAGACCCTTGTACACACACATTAATGCACACACACACTTGTACAAAAGCGCAGTCCCCCCCGGTGGTGCACATGGCAGACTCCTACTAGTCGCAGGCTATATGA